AGGGCGCTCTCGCGCTCTCAGTCGTATGAGGAAATTCCTAATATGGACAAAAGCTTCTAGCTATCGCTGTATGAAAACTGTTGTTTTCACAGAAAACAGAAACGTTTGGAAACATCAAGTCAACAAGTCATCTCCAGGTAATAAATAAAGTATATGAACAATGCAGTGCTAACTGACATAGCATTTATTACAGTATTGAAACTATTCTGCCTTATTATGTGATAAAAAAAAGTGTTTGTAGTATATAAACAAATCATTATAATTGGTTATTGTCCAGCAGTTATCTGATTTCTAAGCCAATTAAAAGCTAGAAATGCTAGAAATGATAAAGTTGACTATACACTACCAGTCAAAAGTTTTTGAACGGTAAGATTTGTAATGTTTTTAATGTTTTTTCTCATCTGCTCACCAAGCCTGCATTTATTTGATCCAAAGTACAGCAAAACAGAAACATTTTGAAATATTTTTACTTTTTCAAATAACTTTTCTATTTTTAATTTATAGTGATTTATAGTAATTTATAGTGATTTTAAAGCTAATTTTTTTTTTGCATCGTTACTCCAGTCACACGATCCTTTAGAAATCCTTCTGATATTCTGATTTGCTGCTCAAAAAACATTAATAATAATAATAATAATTAAAAAAGGTTTCTTGAGCAGCAAATCAGCATATTAGAATGATTTCTGAAGATCATGTGACACTGAAGACTGGAGTAATGATGCTGAAAATTCAGCTTTGATCACAGCAATCATTTTAAAATATATTCAAATAGAAAGCAGTTATTTTAAATAGTAAAAATATTTCACAACATTACTATTTTTGCTATACTTTGGATCAAATAAATGCAGGCTTGGTAAGCAGAAGAGACTTCTTTAAAGAACATTAAAAATGTATCTGACCTTAAAAGTTTTAACTATCTATTATTTACATGTTGTGTGCATGATTTATTTGAGTGTCATCCTTTATGCGCTCTGCTGCAGGGCACCTTGATTGGTTGAATCAGTCAAATAAACTAAACGTTGTAGTAATTGTTACTGTGCAAAACACTCTCAATATTTTGCATGCCTAATTATATGCAATTTTGATTTATGAACCAAAGCAAAATCAAGCAGCAACTACTCAAATGTCACTTGTTTTTTTTTATTTTATTATTATTATTTTTTTGATTCAGCATTACATATGGCTTTTATACTGTGCAGAATGAATTTCAGCAGGAGAAAACTGGACGTTGTTTTGGCATATGCACTGTAACTGATTTTTGTAATTTGAACCGTATTATACTGTAATGTACAGTAAGATACTGTAAAATATGTATACAGTATTTTACTGTAAACCACAAGATTATGGGAAAATATATGGTCACTACTGTATTTTCTCACTACTGTAAATTGATTGAACTTGCCCACGAAAAACTGACCAATGGCAAGGGAGTTCTTTTTTTGACTGTTTGGTGGAAGTGGCCGTTAAAGGACAAAAGAGAAATGCACCGTTAACTCGACGAAAGGTTAGTATATTATTTCTGTTTTATGCAAAACTGCGATTTATTTTAAGATGTTTTCACTTGTTAACAGCAAACTAACATTATTCATCGTGTCATTTTTCATGTTGGGAGTTGGAGCCTTTTTTTCTGACTGACGGCCGGAATGCCGCCAAAAGGCTGATAACATCGACTGGTTAGTAAAGTTAAGGTCACCTATATTAGACGAAATAAACCTTAGTTAAACCGAGAAACACGTTTGTACGTTCTGCTGCCCTTTAATGCAAGTTAGCTCCTCTGGCGAGTCGTTATTTAACCTTAACAGCGAATTAACGTGAAATACTGAGGTAAAGTGCGTTAGGCAAACCACTGTTTCAGTGGAGATTTTAAACAGTATTTTCTAGTA